GTCACACCATGCACATTTGGTGTGACACACACCCCTGTCATCAGGTTTCGTGTAACCCCGTTACATATTTTGAAAAATCTATACATATAAAATTAGGCGGCTTTGCCGCAGATAAAAAAATAAATAAAGTCAGTTTTGGATATAAACGGGAGAGTTAATTACCTTGGGTTAAGGCAATAATTACTCTTGGAGTAAGCGGATTGCGATCCGCTAAACTCGTACTTGTTCCAAGTATAGAACGAAAGGTCGATAAACTAACTTGCGCTTCCTCAAAGCGCAAAGCTACGGCAGCCCCGCTGCATTAAAGGTCCGAAAACAATAATATTTCCATTGTATGACGGGAGTCGATGAGGCTATGGATTCGATCTAGCTTTAAACGGGGTTGCAGTGCTGCGCTTGCTAGACCATGCTAGGAGGTTGCGCTTACAGGCTATTTCCTGTGGAAAGAGGCGTTCATTAAGTAGAAAAATGAGAAGAAACCGATTTGGCGGATGTCTGCACTGTGTAATGAGGTGTATTAGATGCATTCAAAGTTCGCGTCCCCCCGCTAAGGGGACGAAACCGGTAGACAATATCCAGGAATAAAAAAATGTAATCGCCACAGTGGTGTTAAATCTTCTCTCGGAGGCGATAGCGGCTGCCATCTTCCTGGTGATATAGCTCACACCAAGACCTTCCATTTCCACGGGAACTCTTTTGTGAAAGCGATGGGTGTCATATTTGCTGCGTAGTACGACTTCGGATACGCAAGGCCGGGTGAGCTGCTGGGAAAGAAAGCTCTACAAATGTTTTATAGGCATTGGACCTCCGACAGGATGAGTAGGAAGAATGAAATTTACATGGCTACTAAGTAACGTTACCGACCTCAACTAAGCTTCTCCAAGCGAAAGAGCTACGACAGCCCTGCTGTACTTGGTCGCACTTGTAGTCAATCTACACCTGAGTCTGACCTTTCGTGATGATGGAGCAGTTCTCTTGTGTTCCCCAGGGCATGAAGGACGGGCCTAACAGGCCGATGTCTCTGCTTGGTCCTAAAGGCGTGCAACACCTCGCTTTGCAAGGACCTGAATGATCAACGCGCGTCTAAAGGTGTTTTTGAACTATGAAAATGCTCTGTTAGAGCACCTGCAGCAGAGGATGTCGGCGTCGACTGCGTCCATTTCATGGTGAGTGTTAAGGTATATGAGGGAAAGGATGGAGATCATCTCTTGCTCTGGATGCGATGGGCCGGGATGGCTATGGCGTCCGCATGCTCCAGACAGAGCATCTAGGGGCCGCTCCGACAAAGCGCGATACTCCTCAACGTGAGGCAGCCGGTGCACAAAGTGCTTCAAGCTCTCAAGGTAATCCACACAGAGGTATGCGACCTCAGCATGCCGCTCAGCGAAGTACCGATCCCGACGGACCTTGTCCTTAGGAGCCCGAAGAGCATCACGAGTCCCGGAAGCCAGTCGGCCAAGTTGTCATCGACTACCGCCGATTCTTCTCGGTGATAACGGTGACGTCCACTGTCACGTGGAACATCTTGTGGGTCAACGTCGTCGCGAGCACTTTAGGAAGCGTCCGCATCACGGGTACAGGAGTGACTTCTCTTTTAGCACGAAGTCGAGCGCGGTACCTTTCAATTAGGATTTCTTGAGGTACCAAGAAGCGAGCTTGGAGAGCTTTCGTCCTTCAACCTCAGCTTGTATAGTTGGCCGGGGATACGACTAGTTAGATGCCCAACGATCGAGTAATCGCGTGCTTTGCTTCTGTAGGGGGATCCACCGAGCAGAATCCGAATTTCACACGAGAGTCTAGGACCGGCTGTGGATGCCCGCGTATAGCCGCCCTGCGGGCAGCCT